GCGTTATCGCTGATCTACACACTTTACGGTTCACCGGTACACACATATTAGTGTCTTGAGCCTTCGCCAATCGTATCCTGGCAAGGGATTTATAACCGTCTCACTGTCACTTCACATCGCACGTGAAGTCTTCTTTGCACAGTCTAATTCATTTCTTACCGTTTCTTCCCAATCGCCTTCTATCACCAGAAATCGTCCCAACTCAAATGAACTCTCAACTTCTGACAACTAACTACTGAGTCTGAGTCCTATGTTACGACCGAAGTTCACTCGGCAAGTCTGTCTTGGAATGAAGCGCTCATCGGGGGCTTACGACTAGATATTTATTACTGTCAGTTGCTGGTTTGTTTATGTGGGTCACTCTCTCTGACAAGAGGACGGGCTGTCGTTTACAGTTGCTGCTGGCCCTCGCCAGAGCAGTCATTTTCGGGTCCGAGTCCCGTGGGAGTCGGTACCAAATGTTACTGTCTCAGATTCGAGACTTTTCGTCGCCTCACCACTCACAGGGCTACTGTGGAGGTATTCGATTCCGCCTCCACACGGGATCAACTAACTACTCCTTGAAACTTCTCGTTATATAGCCTCGGGACGGACACCGTCTTCTATTGTGCCGTATTGTTTTAGGCGTGTTTACTGATTGGTTGTCTAGCAATAGACCTATTTTTGCGAATTTTGGATCCCGCGGTAATATACCGAGTTGTTGCCTAGCAGTGAATCTATACGTTGCAATATATTTCCTTCTTCCTTAAATTAATTTATTAAATCGGAGGGGTCATATACCAGGATCCCCTCCCTCCTACTGGCGTCCATGGCAGTGGCGTGTTTTTATCAAAGCACTTAGGTTTCCTCCTGTTATTAATTCCACAATTACTCCATAACCATCAGTAATCAGGGGCTCGTACAGTAGGTCCATTTGAGGCCAGAGAACCACCCCGCTCTTACAACTAAAATCCCATCATATTTATAGTAACCGGACACAATCAGGCGAACGAATAATGAGAATTACATTCGTTAGTTAATATATTAAAATAGTTCTCAGAGATATAGGATGGGCGGTATGGACTGCATCGATGTGGCTCAGGATAGGGACCAGTGAGCACCGTAATGAACTTTCTGGTTGTATAAAATGCTGGGAAGTTCTTGAGTAGACCGCGCCATAGCTCAAGCGGTTAATCGCTGGCTTCCCACCGCGGCGGTCCGGGTTCGATCCTGCGTCTGGTCAAGTGGGATTTGTGGTGGACAGAGTGGCGCTGGGGCGAGTTTTCTCCATGTACTTCAGTTTCCCCTGTCAATCTTAATTCCACCAAATTCTCCACCATCATAATCACCCGGGGCAGGCTACAATAGGCCAATGAGTGGCCGCCGTGCCGAGTGGACCCAGTTGGCCCCCCCCCCCCCTCACTAAGCGAATTAAAAAGAAAAGTCTTGCGTAGATGCACAACTGGCGGATTCTCAAGAAAGGTTCAGCTTCGTGAAGATAGATAATATTCGTATGATGGTAATAGAGAGCAAATGGGAACAATTCGGATTCCTTTTTTCTGAAAAGTAGGAAAGCTTGTTTGCTTGAAATACTTTCTTCTAGACAGCAATTATATAATTATTATGTCCGTTACACAACACCACAAAATGTTGGCCAGTCATCTTTTGACGAATGTTGAAGTATTGCCCAATAGCCGTAGGTAAATGCAGAGAGAATACTGAATGCAAACCATGACCACGTCATGTAACTTCTCTAGTCATGTCTTTCATGACGTTGTCTGCATAAACACTACGGGAAAGTACAGGACGTTGAACTGTTCAGGTAACTTTTATATCTTATAATGCACTTTCATATCGCCTGTGGGGAAAATTGATCCGAGAAATTACAGGTTTCTGCCGATCACAGTGGCTGCACGGTCTAAGGCATGAAATGTCTTCGGTCGCTCAAACAGTGGGATTGTGAGTTCGAATTCCACTCAAGGCATGGATGTCTGTCCGCGTTTCTTCCGTGATTGTGTTGTCCTGTGCGGGTAGCGGCCTTGCGACAGGGCTGATCATCTGTCCAAGGAACCTACCAACTGTCTATACGAGTAAGTCCCATAGTTCCAGATTAATTCTGGCGGGAAACAAGCCAGCGGGCCTAATTCAAGAGACAGGAGAAGAAGAAGAAGGTTTCTGGATGGAATATTTAGTTTAACATCTCGGTGCTTCCTTCATGGGGCTGCAGGCTTTTTCGATCTCTGTCTATTCTTATCATGTAAAGTAACGCAATGTAAAGGTGTTCCTATGCTTATCAAGTTAAGCACCACACTCTGAAGACGTAGGGAGGAGTGGATGTGTAGATCAACGTTTTCTTGACCTCGGCACTAGTGGGAGGTGAGTGCTCAGCTTCACACCCCTGCCGCTTTACTCTCCGGGGAAAGAGCCCCCAGAACCCATTTGAAAGGAGGCTGGTTGGGTCCCAGAACCGGTGTGGGCTACGTGACCCTACCGGGACTCGAACTCCGACCCCTCCTATCCAGCCCGTAGCCAGTCGTTATACCGACCACGGTAGTCCAGCGTCCAGTCTTATCATATACGTACAATTTCTAAACCCTTTCCAGAAACTCGATATGATTCCGTAAAAGGGAAAAAGGAATCTTTCGTAAGACCCGTGCATTCACAAAACTGAAGAATACGGACATGACCCGATCAATATTCGAATGCATGATCCCAGTGCTCTTTATCAGTGTCTTTATGACAGCGCGAATGTCGGGATGAACGCGGAACTGTTCTAACGTAATGCACGTGAGTGAATGCTTTTGTTAGGTACCTTGCAATTTACATTTTGGGGTGCCGGAGTTTAACTCTCTGGTCCTACGTTCGGACATCCCACATAAATTACCATTCCTACGGTGTGTACGGTTCTATTGTGAATTGGCATTTTAATTATTAAAAAGGTAAAGCTATCCCTGCAACAGGCCGTGGATGCCCATAGGGTTCTGAGACATCGAGGCTCCAACATTTTCTATGCAGTCGGCTCACAGACGGCGGTGAGGTTGTCAGCCTTACGCGCTGGTCTCCCTTTGTAGAGGCTGAGTCGACCCCAGGGCCATATTGCGGCTGGAAGGATTAGGTCAATTGAAAAATCCATTTACATAATCGGGAATCGAACCAACGACCTTCGGGCTTGTAGCGTAGTGCCTCATCCGACTACGCTACCGCTTGTCCCGAACATTTTAATCATACATAACCTGATACTAGTCTTCGCCGATCGCAGTGGACGCACGTTTTAAGGCATGAAATATCTTTGCCCGCTCGAACCCTAGGATCGTGGGTTCGAATCCCAATGACCCCATGGATGTTTGCTTTTCTTCTTTGTTTGTGTGTAGGTAGCGGCCTTCCCCCATCCAAGGAATCCTACCGACTGTCTAAAATTAAGAAACTGAAGTGAAACAAGCGTTTCACGGATGCCCTATGCTCCAAGTGGGAGCAGCAGGAATAGGTAGATAGAATACGTGTACTATCCTTGCTAGGTGCTACCCGTCAAAATGTATTTGTGCTTCACTCTGGTTCCTTCGTCCCATCCTGTCCCATTCGCTACTGTTTTCTGCTGTTGGCCTTTAATTTTACATCGTACCATTCTGTAGATACTCATTTCTGTATAGTTACTCCAGAACCTCTTGTCGAAAATCTCGTCCTTTCCCTCCTCTATACCTCACCGTGTGGCTCAAGTCTTCTTTCATGCTACGTATGGTGCAAATCGCCTGTTTTTGTTCCTCCTAACCCCCTTCAATTTTCAAACTCATGTTTTCTATCATATTATTCCTCTCTTGTCTTCCCCTGTTCATATTTATTAGGAAGAGTAGTTTAGAGCCCCCCCCCCCCAATATTAGGTGTTATGGTAACACTGCTGAACATGGTTGGAGTCTGAGTGCAGACCCCCTTGTGTGTGTATGTGTGTGTGTGTGTGTGTTTGTTGTGGCGTATAGACCTGATGTAGGAAAAGACCCCGAAACAGACGAGACAACAGCAGTTGCCATGCAATGATCGTGGTGTGGTTGATTATATCAGACCCATTTCTTGGTAACAGCCGGTAAACATGTCAAAGATATCCGAGCTATCGCTAGGCAGACATACATAACAACAGAAGAACTGTGGGAGGCGGTGTATTCTGTTGGGTTGGCCTCGGGGCTATATGACGAGGACTCCAGGCCGGCTGAATGCAATTGAGAGTTCAGTTGTGGGATATTCGCCAAATTGGAAGGACTTGAGCGCGGGAAGCTGAAGAATCTTCACTGTTAACATCCGTTACCAGGAAACGGCTGTTGACTGCAGGCTGGAAAAAGGCTTAGCGGGTGCTGTGATGGTTTGTTGGGAGCAGCGATAGCGATGTAATTACTTGTAGTTCCGAGTGGTGTGTATAAGTGGTCAGTAAATCTAATTACCAATCCGAACCCCATCTGTAGTCACTCTAAATCGTGACAAACAAAAACAGACTGGCTTTAGTCCGCAAGCGAACTATACCGACCGAGCGACCGCTGTTTGTTGGTGAAGTTAGTACCAACTTTAGCGGATAGAGGGTGTCGCGTGGTCAGCGCAACGAATCCCAACGGCCGTCAATTTCGGTTTTCTAGACCGGAGACGCTACCTTTCCATTCAAGTAGCTCATCAGTTATCCTCACGAGCCTGAATGGACCCCGTTCCAGATCCACTACTTCTCAGAAAAAATGGTAGCGCCGGGAATGTAACCCGAGACCTCTGATCTCTAGACCACAGTCTAAATCGTGACAATATATGTGTTCGTGTGTGTGCGCGCGCGTGCATGTGTGTGTGTGTGTGTGTGTCTAATATGAAATTGGCTTGTTTTCTTTGTCAGGTATAACTTTGCATTCTTGTAGTAAGATTAAGAAATTGCATTCCTGAAAGAAAATCGGGATTAATATGGTTTTGGACTTCCGAATGATACGTGTAAGTGTGCTGAGGATATGCTGGCCGGTTCTATTGTAATAATTGGTTTCTGTATATGTGTGTGATTGCAGACTTGTCGCGGGCCCAGCGCACTCTGTCCAATAGCCTTGTCAAGTTCAACTTCGAATGTATTGGCACTTCGCAGACCGATGATGAGGTGGGCATCTCTGTGTCACTCAAAGAGTTCGGGCGCCTTATCGCCAATATTGAGGACCAGCGGGACATGATGGTAAGACAACTGGCATTTTAGGAAGAGCTGTGTTTAATATGGACTGCCTCTGTGGTCTGGTGGTCAGAGTTCCTGGCTACATATCCAGAGTTCCCGGGTTCGATTCCCTGCGCTACCAGATTTTATGAGAAGTAGGGTCTGGAACGGGGTCCACTTAGCCTCGTGAGGATAACTGAGGAGCTGTTTCAAGGAAATAGCGGCTCCGGTCTAGAAAACCGAAATTAACGACCGAGGGGATTCGTTGCGCTGACCACTCGACACCCTCTATCCGCTAAATTTGGTAGCAACTTGGCCGGCAAGCGGCGGTCGCTCGGTCTGTATAGTTCGCTTGCGGACTATAGGCCACGGAGTTTGTTTTTATGTTTAATATGATGTCGTACGTCGGCTGTCTTTCTGTTCTTGCCTTATAGGTGCACTTGTCTGTACGGACTCTATGTGCCTGTTTTTTTTCCCATACAAATCCAAAATTTCTTTACATAAATGTACACACCGAAACACTTGTTTAAACTTGTTGTGCCCCTTTGCAATGTGCCGTCTATTTGTGCCCGCCTTTCGACTTATTTCATTTCCTATAGTACTGTATGGATTTTCATGAAATTTTACACTAGGGGTTCAGCGTTGAGAAAATGCTTTATTTATGGTTTATGTAAAGTTCAGTTTAACTGTACATTTTCTCTGAAGACCTGTCGTACAAAACATTCACAGAATCTACGACTGTACATATATCTAGGTTACCGTGTACAACCGTTGTTTGAAACATTTATTCTTGCAGTTAATATGTACTTGTAATCCCATACAAGGACTTTTTTTTTACTACGCACTGTGATTATCGATACAGTATTTGCTTAGTTATGGTACACATGATCATTCGGACTAATAAAATACCCAGAGTCACAGCGGGAGTATTTGCGGAAAAGAATATTGTTACTTCATTGGAGTAGGCCCGCATTTCGTTCATCCGTTTGTAGGTGAGATGCGTAGTTCCATTCGGGAACAAAGATCTCCGTGAATCACGGTTTGCGGGTGCTAGCCCCATCATGTTGGTGTGTAGGGCACGTGATGGAATGTGTAGCCGTGAGGTCCCGCGCTCTGAGTGTACCTCCCCTTCGTAGGCTAGATCGCAACGCATACCTGTTGTCCATAGTGCTGAGCAGTGCTTAGGTACCTCACGTGTGATGGACGGGGCAGTTGTCTATTTTCATATGACCCCTTCAAAAGGTGAAGAGCGAATGGGATTTGGTTTCGTCATCCCTTGGATAGATTCAAGAAGTGTCATCGGGCTACCAGACAACTATTACATAAACCTGGTTCCTGCACGTAGACTGTGATATTCACAAGAGAGGATTTCTCTGACTAGAAAGAAGTAGCAGGAAAGTGGCCTTCATGAGTTATAAAGAGTTCTTCAGTTTTTGAGTACATTTAATAGTGATCCCCTGTTACTGGCTACTTACAGTTAGGAAACGAATTCATTTGATCATCTCCACAAGAAATAAATTATCACGATCTTAAGCGGCCTCCGTAGTCTAGGGGTAACGTTCCCACCTCACGACTCAAGGTACGCGGGTTCAAACCCGGCGGAGGTCGTGGAATTTTTAAGGGCGGAAAAATTCAAGGAACAAGTCCTCCGGGAGGGACTTTAAGCCGTTGGTCCCGTGTCGTAGATTTACGGCACGTAAAAGATCCTCTGAGCAAAATTAGGCAAAAATTTTCCCGCCCAAGTAGTTTCCAGTGCCTCCGGTAGATGGGGAAGTTATCGGGTACCAATGCCAGTAGAGGACCGACCTCGCTGACAGAAAGGGGAGATAGCGGGCACCAGTGTCGTTAGGGTATGGCGACAGTAGAAATTAAGGGGGGACGTACAATAGACTATTAGTCGCGGTGCATGGGGAAACCCACCCCCTCTATACTGAATAACTGAATCACGATCTTAATAGAAGCGACAGTGATTAAGCAACACATATAAAGCCATTGTAACATGAATTAAAATTGACATATCGTGCTGGATCTTTAAGAAAGTTGAAGAATTTTAATTTTTCTGCGCACTGGATCAGAAGCACCCGGAGGTAGAGGATACTTACAATACAAAAATTATAGCACCCGGTACAGTTAGAGTTTCTTGACATTCTACAGACCTTGTAGCTAAACCGAAAGATGCAGAACATTTCACAACAGAAATATGATTTGAATGAAATGTCATCATAACCACAGGAAATTTTGGTATGATGAGTTTTTCTAATTTCATTCGTTATTCTAGGCATAACATTCATTTACAGAAATAACATGCCTAACATGAAGATATAACTTAGTATGTGAACGCCGACTCCCTTTTCACACCGGCATCAACCCAGATCCTTACTTAACCAGTCAGCAGAGAATAAGCAATAAATTATGCATTGTCAATCACTGTTGTACAACCGATCACAACCAACCATAACTGCCGCCAAAGGAACATAATATGGAATTTCTTTGTTAGAGGCTCTGTGATTTGCTCAGACAAATATGGTTTGGTAAATGCACTATGTTACAAGCCGGCAGGTCTCAGGTTCGAGTCTCGATGAGGTCATTGGATTTTTTTCAATTGACCTAATCCTTCCAGCCGCACTATGGTCGTGGAGTCGACTCAGCCTCTAACAGAAATGAGTACCAGGAATCTCCCTGGGGGCTAAAGGGCGGCTGGCCGGCACGTAAGGCTGACAACCTTACCGCCATCTTTGAGCCGATTGTCTAGATAATGTGGGACCCTCGACGTCTCACAAACCTATGGGCCTTTACGGCCTGTTAACAGGGATAGCTCTACTTTAAATGTATTATGACTGATACAGATGAGCGACCAGTTTTGCATAGGAATATAGACGGCAGTAGTGACTGCGCATGTTACGATTTCTTCTTTACCAGTTGTCAGCCCCTGGACCATAGAATCCAAAAATTTTGTACATTGCGCACGGCTTGAAACATTTCATAAATGTCGTATCCCCTTCCTGAACAAATGCAAACAGGTTTGACATAACACTCAGTTACGAGTACCCTCTTTTTTGTACTTTGCTGTACAAGGTGTGACAATTTAATTCCCGGAATTGCCCTGTGGAAGCACTGGATGCTGCTGTTGCCTTCGAAATACTCCCCTTGTGAAGCTATGCACTTCGTGAGACGACGGTGCCACTGCCGGAAACAGACTTGAAAACAGTTTTCCGGAATACCTCGCAGTAACGCTATCACGTTACGTTGGATGTCAGGAATGTCAGCTAATCTTTGTTACTTCAGGACATTTTTTAATTTTGGAAAGAGCTAAAAATCGCAGGATGCTAAGTCAGGTGAATAAGATGGATGATCCGTTTCTGTAATGGATTTCTTAACCAGGAACTCGCGAACCCTTAACACATGCGCAGGGGCATTGTCGTGGTGGAGAATCCACTCATCAGGCCACAGTTCTGTTTTGTTTTTTTTTTTCCTCCGAACAGATTCCCGTAACCTTGTCAGCACTTCCAGATAGCACTGTTGATTCACCGTTTGCCCTTATGCAGTGAATTCATAGTGAACTGTTCCCATGTGATCGAAGAAACACGCAAGCATGGTCTCGAACTGCGAACGAGACATGCATTTTTTTTTTCGGACGATGCGAATTGTGTTTTCCACTGCATGCTCCGGAGTTTTGTTTCCGGGTGGTATTGAAAACACATTTCATCACCGTTAATGACCCTATCAAACATCTCTACACTCCACGTCGGAGTTCGAGTCCCAGCAGTAGTAATGAGATTTTCTTTGCAGCGTTCAGACCAGTTCTGGGGCCCATCCAGCCTCATATCCAGTAGATATTTGGGTTTTTTCCTCGGAGGTAAAGCGGTTGGGGCTTGAAGCTGACCATTCACCTCCACTTAGTGCCAAAGTTAAGAGTGCATGGAGATATCTCCACTCCTTCTATGTCTGTGACGTGTTGCTGTGTTGAACACGGGGACAACTTTTCCTTAACTTTACCATCTACGCCTAGATCTCCCAAATGGTCTGTTACCTGCAGGCGGTCCAGCTGAAACTGTGCATACATCTCATGAGACTCCGTAAAAACGTGCACGTCGACTGGCTGCATCCACTAGCTTGCCTGAAGTCGGTATCCCAGGATGGCTTCTGCATATGAACGTGATGTGGAGTATGTTACAGCAGACGCGAACCACTTTCTGGGCAAAAACAAAGATTGACAGCGATTATTTCGCCCACTGATGATACTTGACGTTAATGGAATGTATGCTTGACGCCACAGAGGATGGTACCCTTCATAATCACCGCCTTGACAAACACAAATGCATTGAAAAAGATTTAGTTTATGAAACGCATTCTTGCTGTGACCTCATGGTAAGTAACATTTGGGCTTAGCTCGGATACAAATGGAAACCGGATGACTGTTCTTTCTATCGCTTCTCTTCCTGTGCTACATCCGCGCGTTGGGCGCTACTTACTGGCGTTCCTTTTATGGCGGGCTGCTGTCGCTGCCTTTAGCCCCGTGTTTGGCGATAGCTCACGCTACCTGGGTCGCTCTTTGGGGACAGGCCGAATGAGGGGTGACCTCCACCGGTAGCCAGTACCGAAAACTCAGTTGACTTTTCCTCCTTCCCTTTCTCGTTGGTGTTGAGACCGTGGGCTGGGAAGGCAGAAGGACTTATTTTGGCGCCAATAGTCACCACATTGCGTTGGCTACAATTTAGTATAATTCGGGTAAGGATCAGCAGGGAGATGACTGGGTAGGACATGAGGTCTAACTCTGGGCTTAACGGGGCTTGCCCTGGCAGGACAGGAAGAACACTGTTCCTACATACGCGCACGCACGCACACACACAACGAATACGATGGATTTGAATTTATTAATCAACACTGGGATAATTAATACTGTCGAATAATAACAAACTTAGTTCACTTTAATAATATCATACACTTTTTGCTAGTTAAAATATTGATTTACTGTCGCAGTTTACACTCTGATCTCTTTGAATACATGAATAATAGTCAGCCTA